AGAACTGGCTTTTGTGCCTCAGCTGCTCCCCTTGTCCCCTCCCCTCCCCCTCTGCCCTCTGCGTGGCTCCTGAGCTCCCCAGGCTGGCCTGCCTGCCTGCCTGCCTGCTGTCTCCCTCCCAGCCAGGATGCGTGCTGCAACTCCACCATCTACCATCTCCTGTTTAAAATCCCGAGTGTGGGGCCAGCGTGTAAAGCTGCCGCCTGGGATGCCAGCATCCCATGTGGTCGCCAGTTCAAGTCCCGGCTGCTCCACTTCTGATCCAGCTCCCTGCTGATGGCCTGGGAAAGCAGTGGGAAGATGGCCCAGGTGCTTGGGCCCCTGCCGTGCACATGGGAGCCAAAAATGAAGCTCTTGGCTCCTGGCTCAGATCCGCCGTACAGCCATGGGGGAGTGAACCGGCAGATGGAAGATCTCTCTCCTTCTCTCTGTAACTCTGACTTTCAAATAAATAAATATAAGTAAATAATTCTTAGAAAAGCCTGAGTGTGACATTCGAGGCTGTGGCCACGCAACTCCCCCTGGTTTCCGGCTCCCCAGGCTTCCGGCTCCCATGGTCCCCCCTCCCTGGCCTCTGTGCTAGGAGCCCTTAGGTTACCCCAAAGCTCCTGCCCCCACCGCGGTGACCCTGGAGTCTGGGGAGGGCCCTGGGCTCCAGGCAGCTGAGCCATGTGGGAGAGTGGTCTGAGCCGGCTCCAGGGGCTCTCACTCAGGCCCTTGAGGTGGTGCCATGTTTACTTTCAGTGCCGAAGGACAAACAGCCGGCCAGGGGGCGCCAGCATTCGAGCCGGGCAGGAGCTTCTCCAAGTCCTGACCCTGCTCACTGGCCTGGAAGCTCCCCCCACCCCGTGACAGGTGGGAGGGGACAGCAGCAGGGAGGGTTCTGGCGTGGCTGGGGTGGCCTCACCCGACACTTGCAGCTGGGGCGCCCAGCGTGTTTCGCACGAGCCCTCCCACGGTCACATCCTGTGGGCAGAGGCCTCAGCTCCAGTTCCGGCGCCGCTGTCACCGCCACCTCCCCATCCCTGGTCTGAACCTTGACATCCGCCAGTCACTTCCCCTTGGGGCCCTCGCGGGGGTGTGGGGAGGGCAGGAGCGGGCAAGAGCCCTTCGTCTCGAGCTGCCCAGGCCTGGGGCCCCAGGTCAGCACGGCTGGCAGAGCCTAGGTCGGGGCAGAAGCAAAGGAACCGATTCTGTGTTGCTGGCTGGAGGGGAGTGCCTCCTGCTTCCTGTGACACCGGCTGCTCCACTTCCGGCCCAGCTCCCTGCTGGTGCACCTGGGAGAGCAGCAGGAGGCCCAGTGCTAGGAACCCCGCCCACCGACGTGGGAGACCCCGATGGATTCCAAGCCCCTGGTTTTAGCCTGGCCCAGCCATGGCTGTCGCAGGCATCTGGGGAGTGAGCCAGTGGGTAGATCCCTCTTTCTCTCTTTCTCCCCTTCTCTCCCCTCCCTCTCTCTCCCTTACAGACAAATAAATCTTTATGTAAAGAGTCAATGGGTGTCGACTGACCGACCGAGCGTGAAGTCTCTGGTTCTGCTGTGGTTGAAGAACTAGGGAACCTGAGGCATGGACTAGAAGGAGCCTGCATTCGACCCTACACCTTAGTTGGATCCTTAAGAGGAACAGAGGAGGGTGGGGCATCTGGAGGGGGCAGGGCTCCCCGACTAGGCGCCGCGAGGGCACTGGCCCGTACCTCGCAGTACTGCGCATGCGTCTGGAGCACCTGTGCCGTGCCTGGCCCCGTGCGAACAGGTGCCCTCCCTCTGAAACCTCTCAGGTGGCTGTGACCCGGCCCAAGTGACAGAAGAGGTTCAGAGCGACGACGTGGCGGCCCAGGGCCACACAGCAGGGGAGCTGTGGAGCAGGGACTCAAAGCCAAGGGCACCAGGTCAAGCCCGAGGAGAGAATTCACGGTGCACCTGCAGTACAGCCCCACACAGCAGGGGCCAGCGGGGTGGGCAAGGCCCCGACCCTGCCCGGGAAACCCGCGGTCTATTTGGGACACACACATGAAGGCAACCGTGAGTGACGCGTGACGCTCCAAGTGGCAACGTCTCCTCTCCCTGCCACAAGGGAGAGGTTGTTCCTCCGTTTACCGCCTGCTCCCACCCACGTAACTTACCATGTGTGGAAATTAGCGGGAGCCAGCAGCACCTTAATGTAGCCAGCCCGCCGGCCACTACAGCCGGGCAGCACAGCCCAGGGCGACAGCGCGGCTGCCCGGCGTCTGCGCCCAGCACCACACATTGCGAGCCAGGAAAGCATCCCAATCCCAGCCTCGCCACGTCTGGGGTCTCCCGAATGTGCGTGGAAGATCCCAGATGGGACCATCACTCCCTGGGGCGAAAGAGGCTGGGAGAGATGACCCGGGCGGGGACCGAACTCAGCTTTGCCTGCCTGGGCCAATGCCTTTGACTGTGAAGAGCCCAGTGCCTGACGGTCCCTCCCTTGCCTTCTGCGAGCCCCCCAGTGTGAGACAAGGGGGTCCCCCAGAGTGATTGAGTGGCAGGCAGTGGCGTGCTGGTGTCTGGGGCCAGGCGAGGCCAAGGCCTGAGGGTGGGGGTGGGGGAAGCCCTCGGGGGTTCAGGCCCACAGACAGAGCCTGGCTGGGCTGGCCTCCAGGCCAGGCGAGGAGGGCCCGCGGTACAGCCACCGGCCAGCAGGTCTCCAGCCGCACGCCCAACGGCCACTTGAGACTGCACAAAGCAGCCTCTGAGCTCAGTGGAGCCACCACACTGAGCCCCATTCATGGAGCCAGGGACGCCAGCAGCTGCCTGGACGCCCCGGGCCAACGGTAGCACCGGCCCTGGTGGTGACGAGGCGCCTCTGCCAGGGCCACGCAGCCTCGGCCCATGCCAGGCGCCTGCCTGCCGGGCGTCCCTGGCCTGGGCTGCTCTGCCGCTCGCCTATACACCTGTCCCTCAGCCACAACAGCCGGGGCTTTCGGGTCCACAGTGTGCTGCTCTCCCTGCAGCCCCAGGAAAGAGAGCCGTCGTCACCCCATTTCACAGGAAAGGAAACGGAGCCGAGAGGCCACATCTCTCAGGCGGGGTGGGGATGGGGGGGAGGCCTGGCCAGGATCCCGCCCTCTGCCCTGCACTAGCAAGGTCCCTCCCCCGCTTCTAACAACAACCAGGAGATGGGAAGGGGAGCCAGTGTGGGAGTTAGGACGCTGGTTGTCTGTCCATCTGACGGCTGGGTTCTTTAGCCTCTGTTTGCCCGTCTGTGAAATGGGGGAGTAGCAGGATTTGAGTCTCATGTCTTTTTAGATTCAGTCGGTGACCTGTGGAAGCTTCCAGCTGCACACCTGGCACACTGTGAGTGCTCGGAGCAAGGGGCTGTGGTTGGGCCCTCCTCTTCCCAGTCCCTGGCCCGGAAACCCTACCCTTTCGTGAGAACCCTGCGCAGGCCCCTGCTGCCGTGGTCTCCTGGCCCTGGGCTGCTCTCCACCCGCCACGAAATTCAGCTGGACTCTTCCCCCAAAGGCATGGGAGTCCGCAGCACCTCAGGCCGCAGGGCTCCGCAAGTCCAGTTCTGGGGGGCGTGGCTTGAGGGCTGAGGAAGGGTGCGCCCCTCGCTCCCTCCCTCATAGCCCCAGCAGCCAGGCATCCGCAGGCAGATGGGATCTGAAGCCCCTGCTCCGGCAGCCTCCCAACCCCAGCAGCTGCTGACACGCCCCCTGCAGGTGTCCTGGATGGCCGGCGGGAGGGCTACACTTGCTCATCCTGTCCCGCCCACCGGGCACACGCCCAAGCAGGGTGATGTGTGACCCAGTCTGTGCCCCAACCCACTGTGGTCCTGGGGAAGCCCCCCTTGTCCGCTGTGCCTCGGGGTCCTCATGTCTGACCCGCGGGCTGGGTGGACCAAATTCTTCCCTGTCGCGTCCAGCTTGTAAAAGGGTAAGCACGCCTTGGCAGGCTCCGGAGTGCTGGGCCCTGGCAGGTGGGCATGCGAGCCCCTGCTCCCAGATAGGAAACTGAGGGACCGGGAGAGGAGCTGCCTAGTCCAAGGTCACACAGTGACAGAGCTGGACTTGGCTTCGGTGCTGCGCTGTCCATCTCCTGGGTCCCCGGCTCTGAACAAACCACCCTGGTGGGTGTTGGACCTTGCAGTGAAACCCCACCTTGTGGTATCTGGCTCCGGCTGCTGAGTCTGGCTTCCCAGCGAACCCTGGGAGGCAGGGTAATAGCTCCAATGACCAGGTCCCTGCCGCCCAGGTGGGGGACCTGGGTTGAGTCCCCGGCTCCCAGCTTCCGTCCCTCGACCAGCGGGGGAGTGACCCAGTGATGGGAGCCCTCCCTCTGTCTGCCTCTCAAATACAGAAACAGATAACCAACTAACTTCAACAGACGACACTGCCCTGCAGGGGGCCTGTCCCCTCTCCTTCCCAGCCTGTGAGCCAGCCCCCCAACAGCTGCTGGCAGGTCCCCAGGGGCCCCCGGTCCAGTGGGCTCCATTCCCAGAGCCTGTGGTTTGCTCCTCAGCCCTCCCAGGTCCCGCGGGCTTGCGGACTGCACCCTGCCCCTGCTGCCTGCCGAGGCCTGGGGACTGGGGGAGGCCCCAGCCCCCGCCCCCTGTGGCGAGGGTAAGGGAGGGTGGGGCTGGTTTAAAAATACACAGAGGAAGCAAGCGCGAGAGCCCGAGGAAGGGGAAGGGGAGCAGGAGGCTCTTCAGCCTCAGGCCCAGAGCCTCGAGCCGCCGCGCGCCGGCTGGCCGGGCCTTTGCACCGCTCACCAAGATGGCGGAGGGGTCCAAGAAGGCCAGCAGAAAGCTGAGTGAGTGCGGGGACCGGGGCCCCAGCCGTGCCCCTCCGGCCGCCGCCGGCCGCTCTCCACTGCCTCCTGTTCCTCTTTCTCTCCATCCCTGTGTGTCCGGAGGGCTGCCCTCTGCCATTCCGGCCCGGTCTCCTCTCTCTCTCTCTCTCTGGCTGGGTCGGCCTTCATCTCTGCTCTCTCCGTGTCTCTGTCTCTCCCTTCCCGCTTCTGAGCCGCTGAGCCTCCGGCTCTCTCTGCCCCTGAGGCCGGGCGGCTGGAAACCCTCACGCGCTCTGTACCGGCCCCTGCCTGGGAGCACGCGGGATCTCAGGTTGGGAGCCGCTGGGGTTGGGGCTTGGGCACTTGGGCCGTGCCTTGGGGTGCCGTCCCCGTTCCCACCAGCAGTGAGGCGGGCTCCAACCCCTGGGGGAGGGGCCACACCCACCCATGGCCGGTCCCTTCCTGGTCCCGGTGAGCATGGGCTCCCCTGGTTCCTCTGACCTGGGGTGATGTGACAGCTGCATCCAGTGTCTGGCGTGGGGCTCAGTTTCCCTCCCTGTTGCCCCTGCCGTTCCCTGCAGACCAGGGGCGCCGGGGGAGGGTGGAGGCGGGCCTGGTGCTCCCGTGGCGCGCTCTCTGCCCCTGCCCCTGCACAGCTGTCCCTGAGAGCAGCATTTTCAGGGGCTAAGACCGGGTCTGGTGGCCAGGGCTGGGAAGAACGCCCCGGAGCACCGACCCAGCAGTCAGGAGCCCCGCGTGCTCACCCGGCTCAGCCTTGGCCTGGCGGAGGTGGGGGGGCCTGGGCCGGTTCCTTCCCTCGCCAGGGCCGGTGGATGCAAGGGGACAGCCCCCCATACAGGGGTGGGGGGCCTGATGCACCCCCATGGAAATGGAGATGGTATCGCCCAGCACTGCTGCCCCTGTCCTCCTCGGAGCTCGGGGCTCAGCTGACAGGAAGGGGAGAACCACAGGCAGCGGGACCCGGGGCCTCCAGAGCGCAGCCCTGGGCGGCCTCCGCCTCCTTTCCAGGCTCTGGGTCTCTGTGCTCGTCTGCAAAAGGGCAGAGTTCAACTGGAGTCACTGAGTTATGGCAGGAGCAGTGTCTCCATCTCCACCAGCCCCGCTATCCGGGACGATATTCCGTGCCAAGCCCCACGCGACACGGTGCACAGTGTCTGTCGGTCCTCCCGCTGCGCCGGGGTAGATGCGTAACCCCTATTTCCCCCGTGTGCAGAACGGGACTCAGAGGGCCCGTGATGTGCTAGGTGTGGAAGAACAGCCTAGGGCCGCCATCTCTGAGAGCGTGGTCGTGACCCCCCGGGCTGTCGGGGAAGCCCCAGCCCTCCTAGGACCCTCCCCGGGTGGGATGGTGGCTCTTTGATTGTCTGCACTGCTGATGACGGGATCATTCCCTCCTTGCCCTGCCCCCACCAGAGTTCTTCAAGTTCAAGGGCCTTGGGAGTCTCTCCAACCTGCCTCGCTCTTTCACTCTGAGACGCTCCGTGGCCCCCATCAGTATCCGGTCCCAGCTGAAGCCCGACACCTTTGAGGCCACGCAGGACGACATGGTGACAGTCCCCAAGAGCCCCCCAGCTTACGCTCGCTCCAGTGACATGTACAGCCACATGGGCACCATGCCTCGGCCCAGCGCCAAGAAGGCTCAGGACCGACAGGCCTCCCGGGAGCCCCAGGAGGGGGGCCCCGAGCCTCACCTCGTACCCCAAGGTGTGCCGGAACCCCTGGGCCCAGAGGCGGCCAAGGAAGTGGCGGGGGCCGATGCCTCCGTGGAGGACACAGCGGCAGTGGACCTCAGTGCTTCCGCAGTGGAGGCGGAGCCTAGCGGAGGCCGTGAGGACCATACGGAGAACACAGAGGAGGAGATGGCTCCCAGGGATGTGCACCCAGAAAGGTAGGTGTGACCAGGGGCAGAGGAGCGCCAGACCTGCGGGGGCTCGAGTCTAAGACCCTCCCCCCTGACACTCAGATCTGGGCTAGAAAGAAAAAGGCCACGCCTTAGCCACGTGCTCACTACAGACCGGGCACTGTTTGGACTCTTCCCTTGTGCAATAAACTCTGAGAAGTTCACCAGCCAGGAGAGACCGCTGCTGCTGTCCCCACTGGACAGGTGCGTCGGCGGCCCCAGCCGGGCTGCACATCTTGCCAATGACAAAGCCCCGGGAAGCGTCCAGCACGGGCCCTCGGGGGTGAGCTGGGCACTGGATCTGTGGCCGGACAGCACCCCCTGCCCCCGGGGGGTCTACAAGACCGCCTGTGCCGTCCCCCAGGTTTCCTGTAGAACAGGCAGCGATGCCGGGGAAACGCTCCCATTAGCAAGCATGTGTGCTGGGCGTCACGGAAAGTGCTAGGGGGTGTCTCCTTAGCCCATCTACGGAGCGGCAGACGGGGACTCCCCAGGGTCACACCCAGCTGGGACCCGAGCAGGAACCTGCCTGCTTCCAACAGCTGCCGGGCTCACCCGCCGCCTGGTCCACCCTCAGAGCCTTTGTCTAAACCACTCCCGTCAGGTGAGCTTGGGAAATCCAGAGGGGAACAAAACCAAAAAAGCCAGCGTAGCCGAGTCCCCCTGGGGCTAAGGTTCTGGCCGCCGTGGGCTGAGCTGTGACGAAGTCCAGATCCCGTTCCCGGGGAGCAGGACCTTGCAAAGCTGCAGACTGGGCCCAGGCCAGACCCCGCCTCCGCCGAGTGCGTGACCTCCCGCGCAAGGCGGCTGCCTCGCTGAGCCTGTTTCTCACCGGGCAGAGGGGACGTGGGGACAGCACCTGCCTGGTGGGGTTGTGGGGAGAGTCCAGGAATCACAGACCCGCAAAGGCTTAGCGCGGGGCCGGACACCCGCTAAACGGGCGGGAATGCCACGCCTGCGACTGTGGCGGCCGCTTTCCCGCCATGCCGGGCTGCCCCCAGCTGCCGCCGCCTCCTCTCCGCGGCCTCGCGGGGGTGTGCGGAGCAGGGCGAGTCTGGAAGGAGGACGCCCCCAGGGCTCCGCGGCACCCACAGGTCTGAGACCGCGCTGGGAGCCTGCCCCTCCCGTCCACGGGACGCGGAGTTCGCGGGGGGCGGGGCGGAGCGAGGAGGAGCGTAGGGGCGTGTCTTTCCCCGTGCCGGGAAGCGGGGCGGGGCGGGGCGGAGGGTGTGCCCGGGGGTGTGGCTCCCCGTCCAGGGCGCTGACACATGCGGAGGGGGCGGAACTAGGGGTGTGCCCGAGGCGGGGCGTGGTCATCCCGCCTGCAGGCTTAGAGGACGGGGCGGGGCTGGGAGAGGGCGGAGGGGCGTGTCGGGGCGTGGCCTGTAGGTTAGGCCCCTCCCCGGAGTCCTGCTTTGCGCTCCGCAGCTGTGAGGCCCAAGAAAGGCGGGAGCCGTGGGGCTGAGGAGGTCGCCAGGCTGCCCGCGGTGACCACCGGGAGCCATGACTGCAGTGGGCCGAAGGTGCCCGGCGCTGGGGCTCCGGGGGTGAGTGACCGAGCTGGGCCCGGGAGAGCCAGCGGGAGCAGGAGAGACCCGGGGGTGGGGGAGCATGGTGTGTATGGGGTGTGGGTTCAGCATCTGCGAGTTTTCTAAGCCAGCTTTCTTGGGGGTGAGCGCCCTGCCCTGTCCCGGAGCAGGCGGGGGTCAGCGCACCCACTCCTCTCGGAGCCACAGGAAACAGGTACCAGTCTTTCCATGTTATAGATGAGCAAAGGAAGGTTTATTGTCCAGCTAGACACAGCGGTGCACGTCAGAACGAGGCTGGGCTCCCCCTTTCTGGCCCATGCCCTCACCTGCTGGCCAGCACGTTCCCCTGGGACAGCCCAGGGCCTCCGAGAAACTTGGTGCTGTCAAGTCTGGGACCCAGCCCGAGCCCACTGCCCCCGTGGGCAGAGGCCTGGTGGTCCTGGCAGTTCCCTGGGCATCAGGCCCGGTCTGGTGGTGACGTCTGAAGTGGACAGGCTCCGTCCCCGCCCTCCCATCATGCGGAGTGTGTAGGATGGGTCCTGAGCAGGGTGAGGGGTCAGCAGACCCCTCCCAGGGCCCAGCATCCACCTGCCCTCCGGGGACTGCTGGGTGCTTCTTCCAGGAGTCCTCAGCCTCTGCCCGGTGCCATGACAGCCCAGAGGGGTCCGGGAGGGTCTCGGGGGAGCCACCCAGCAGGGGGAGAGGGGCCCGCTCCTGGGCTTTCCGAGGGGGTCATCCCAGGGTCTGCAGCTGGGGGAGACGGCGTCCCTCCCCCACCCCCGGGGAGGCAGGGTGCACCTGGAGCTGGAGGAAGGAAGGGGAAGAGGTGAGGCTGCAGGAGCTTCCTGGAGCCCGGTCCCCAGGCCCTGCCGGGATCACGAGGGCGGGAGGAAGGAGGGAGGGGGCCGTCAGCTCCGAGAAGGGGAGCGGCAGCCTGGCCGGCCCCAGCCTCTGCAGGGAGACAGCAGGTCCCAGCGGGCCCCGCACCCTCTCCCCCGGTCGCTGCTACAGAAGAGGGGCCAGGAAGCAGGCCCCCACCCCCTGCAGGAACTGCCAGGTGGGTCCTGCCGCGGCCGCGGTGGGCCGGCTCACACCCCTGTGGGCCCTGCCAAGGGGGGTCCCTGGGCTTCGTTTTACCGGTGAGGACAGGGCCCAGAGACGCTGAGAGGGGAGTCTAGACTTGACCCCAGGCCCAGACCACTCCCCGGCCTTGGGTCTTAACCACTGGGCCACATCTCACCTCCTGCTTTTTCTACCACTCTTTCTGTGAGCCGCTGGAGAGAAGGTGATAGCAGCCCATTTCACAGATGAGGACACTGAGGCTGTCGCCATGCTGGAGGTCACGCAGCTGACAGTTCCTCCGCCTTGAAATGTAGGGAGGTGCGCCTGTGCTGCGCCCGGTCCAGGCTCTGAGCAGACAAAGCCCTGTCCTCGTGGGGACTTGGTCTTGGGGAAGGAGGCAGTGGCTGCTGGTGGCGAGGTAAGCGCAGCCGGGACAAAAGTCCCAACAGAGGTGAGGAACGCATCCTCTTGTTCTCTGGGAGAAAGTGCAGCTGGCCACGGGGACAGCGTGTGCAAAGGCCCTGGGGTGGGAGCGTCCTTGGCACGTTTGTGGAACAGCAGAGACTGGAGGAGAGGGGGTAAGACCAGAGAGGAAAGGCGCCCAGCTGATGGGGGCCCAGCTTCCACTCCGCGCACAGGAGCCGCAGCTGGCCGTCAGCACGGGGGCCTCTCCTTTGAAGGAGACCGGGACGCTGCCCCGCGTCACTCCAGTGCCTCACCCAGGGGTCCTTTGCCACCACCCATGGACACCGCTTCCCAGGGGGCAAATGGGACTTGGAGAAGGCAGCGCCCTACCCCCTGTGCTGCCCCGGCCCCAGCCCCAGCCCTGGTGCCAGGCACCAGGACAGGCCAGGCCCCCAGCCCGCCCCATTTCCTCCTGGAATGTTGATTCTGCTCCAAGAATTCCCCACTCTCCCCAGAGTCCCACGACCCTCCTGGCCTTGTACAGTGACGTCAGCCGCGGGGCATGTGGTAGCGATTACCCACTGGGGGAGGGGGCGTGGTGGGCTCCGGGCGGCGGGGGCCCAGCTGCCGCTGGCTCTCATTTCCTGTGGAGACTTTCTCACAGTCCCCGAGACCCCCAGACGCCTTGGGCTGTGGGAACGGGGAGGATGGGCCACGCTCCCCCAGCTGGAGCCACCCCCACCCCCCCACCCCCGGGGGACTCTGTGTGCAGGCTGCTGGGGCCGTGTGCAGTGGGGGTGGGGAGCAGAGGGTCAGGAACCAAGGCAGCACAGAGGCCCCTGGGCAAGCCCCTCCCTGCCACCAATCCTCAGTTTCCCCATCTGTAAACTGGGGATAATGATGGCACCGGCTGCACAGGGGCGCTGTGGGGACGGAGAGCGTGGCCTGGGGGCTGCTCCTGCTATAGTGCTGAGACCGCCCAGTGAGGGTCCTCACCCTCTCCTGAGCCCTGGGGTCTTCCCTGGGGCCACTGCTCCCCCTTTCCTCTTCCTGATGTCCACTCTGGGTGGGTCCACGTGTCCTTTTCTTCGCCCTCCCCTCCCTGGCTTCCCCCATCTCTGCCCAGGAGTGCCTCCGGGTTCCTGGGGCTGGGGGGAAGAGAGCGGAGAACTTGACATTGACGAGGCCTGTCCGGTCCCGGAGCAGCCTGTGCCTTGCCGTGAGCTCCGAGCGCAGTTCTCAGTCTGCAAAGCAGAGCTTCGAGGTCTCGGCGCGCAGGCAGGGTCCCTCAGGGCCCCCCCTCGCTTTTTGTTCTCCCCCAGCAGGTTGGGGGTCTCAGGTAGCCTCTGGGCTCAGCACCCGGGCAGAACGGCCCCCGCCGAACCCAGACCGGTCATTTCTTGAGCTCCTGCTGCACGGCTCACCCCAGCCCAGAAGACCCGGGCGAGGACGGAGACAGAGACGCAGGGCCGCGATGGCTCAGTGGTGGTCCATCTCACGGGGCAGGGCCAGGGCTAAAGCCAAAAGCGTTGGTGGCCCGGAATCCCGCTGGCCCCGTGGCTGGGGGTTCTGGAGGCACAGGGCTCCCCCCACCGGCCCGGTTTCCCCAGGACCTTTCGGCACACAGGGCCCAAAGCAGGCACCTGCTGCTTGTCTGCCGGAGGAGGCGGGTCAGAGGGCGGGGTGGGAAACTGCTGCGGGTGGGGGCAGGGCAGCCAAGAGCCCCAGGCGGGCGGGGAACCTTGCGCCCCTCCTAGAACCCTCTGGGGGGGACAGTTACAATATGCCCACTGCACAGAGGAGAAGGCTGAGGCAGAGAGGGGGAGCCGGGGGCAGGGGGCACAGAAATCTCGAACCCCAGACCCAGGGGAAGAGATGGGGCTCAGAGGGGGACAGACAGGCCGCCCCGTGACTGCGAGGGAGGCCGGGAGAGCAGGACCTGGGCACCCGGCCCGGCCCAGGTGAAGTTCCGAATTAACCGTGCACGGGGGATATAAAGGATAATGGGCTCCAATTAATGCCCATTAATCCAATTAATTAAGATAATGTATGCAATAAGGAGTATCAGTTATCAGAACAAATCAGTTAATACAGGCAGTTAAAGGGGTTGGTTATTTAAATAATTAATGTGGCTGATTCACGGGACTGATTGAGCTCGGCTGTCGCTCTGTATATTGATCGCTTCCCCTGCTTATATCAGAGCGAAAGTCTTTTTGTTGTTGTTGTTGTTTTGTTTGTTTTATTTTTTGACAGGCTGAGTGGACAGTGAGAGAGACAGACAGAGAGAAAGGTCTTCCTTTGCCGTTGGTTCACCCTCCAATGGCCGCCGCGGCCAGCGCACTGCGGCTGCCGCACCGCGCTGATCCGATGGCAGGAGCCAGGTGCTTTTCCTGGTCTCCCATGGGGTGCAGGGCCCAAGCACCTGGGCCATCCTCCACTGCACTCCCTGGCCACAGCAGAGAGCTGGCCTGGAAGAGGGGCAACCGGGACAGAATCCGGTGCCCAGACCGGGACTAGAACCCGGTGTGCCGGCACTGCAAGGTGGAGGATTAGCCTAGTGAGCCAGCGAAAGTCTTTCAAGTCCGCATGAGAAGGAACGCAGTCAATAGGTGATGGGTGGTGCTGAGGTTTTTCACAGGGATTTTCCGGATTGGATCTTCATGACAATGAGGAGAATGTTCTGGAAGTCTCCAAGTAGCTGATCTAGAAGTTGAGTAGGAGTGGCCCTGGCTCTGACAGGGAGAGGACATTCCAGGGAGCAGGGACGTCAGGTGCAAAGGCCCTGAGGTTGGAGCTCAATGCAGGAAGAAGGCCCAAGGGCGAGGGAGGGCGGCAGGGGAGGGGCCGGTAGGTGGCGGCCTGGTCACAGATGGCTGAGCTGGGGAGGGGGGAGGTGGTGACATGCATTTGTTTAACAAAGGGTCACTGGGTGCTGTTGGGTTCCCAGCACTGTTGTAGGAGGAACCAATCCAGGCCCTCACTGGTGCTGTAACGGTGCTGTAGCGAGCGGAGACGCCTGGGCGGCAGACCCTTGGCAGGCCAGATGGTGTGCGCGGAGCAGACCGAGCAGGGAGGGTGGTGGGAGTGCGGGGGGCTCCCGTCTCCAGGCAGGACCTCGCTGAGCTGGGGCCATGTTAGTGATGACCAGAAGGAGGCCAGGGAGGCGACCCAGGGCCGACGTGCAGGAAGCGTGTTCCGCGCAGAGGGAACAGCAGGCGCGGAGCCCCTGAGGCGGTGGCGTTTGGGGAGCACTGGGGGAGTTCGGCTGGGCTGCAGCAGCCCGAGCCAGGGAGCATGGGGCTGGGGACGGGGGCCAAGAGGCAGTGAGGAACCGCGGGGCTGGAGCCCAGGAAACCGTGCTCCTCATTCTGATGCTGGGAGAGGTGCAGCGGGAGGCAGGGAGGCCAGAGGCAAGGTAGGGACGGGCACCGGGTGAGGGCGGACGCAGGGGCCCCAGGAAACCCCGGAGCACTGCGGAGCGCCGAAGCCTGGTACCCTCTTGGCTCCAGCCACCCCGCCCGGCCCCGTCTCTGGTGCCACGCCCCAAGCCTGAAGGGAAGGGACAGGAAGCGGGAGGAAGCTCTGGGTCGTCCGGGTGTCCCGGCCAGTCTGCTCCCAACAGTGGGAGGATTTCCGGGCCTGAATGGCCGGAAGCGCTGGGATGGGTCACCTCACCCGGGAAGGGTGGGGGAGGGCGGGGAGGGGTCCTTAGGGCTCCTCCACCCGCCACCCCCAGCCCTGCCACTGCTGCTAGACAGAGAGATCCCAAAAAGCCTTCGGAAGCCTGTTTTTGCCAATCTACCGCCTGAGGGATTCAGGTTAGAGAGCAGGAAGGACTTCCCAGGAGGGAGGGCAGACAGCAGGGAGCCCCGGAGTTCAGCACGGGCAGGGCCCTCAGACAAGGCCTCCGTGAGGAGCCCGGGCGGCAGCAGCTGAGGCCACAGCACTTGCTTTTCGCTCAGCTTTTTTCCTTTCCTTTCCTTTCCTTTCCTTTCCTTTCCTTTCCTTTCCTTTCCTTTCCTTTCCTTTCCTTTCCTTTCCTTTCCTTTCCTTTCCTTTCCTTTCCTTTCCTTTCCTTTCCTTTCCTTTTTGACAGGCAGAGTTAGACAGTGAGAGAGAGAGAGACAGAGTGAAAGGTCTTGCTTCTGTTGGTTCACCCCCAAATGGCCACTGCGGCCGCCAGGAGCCAGGTGCTTCTCCTGGTCTCCCATGGGGTGCAGGGCCCAAGCACTTGGGCCATCCTCCACTGCACTCCCTGGCCACAGCAGAGAGCTGACCTGGAAGAGGGGCAACCGGGACAGAATCCGGCGCCCCGACCGGGACTAGAACCCGGTGTGCCGGCGCCACAGGTGGAGGATTAGCCTAGTGAGCCGCAGCGCCGGCCAGCTTTTCTTTTCTAATTATTATTTTAAGTGGTTTTAAGTTTATTTGGGGGGGGGGAGATCTTCCATCTGCTGGTTTATTCCCCAAATGTCCATGACACCCAGGAGCCTGGAGCTCCATCCGGGTTTCTCCTGTGGGAGGCACTTGGGCCATCTTCCGCTGCTTTCCCAGGCGCATTAGCAGGGAACTGGATCAGAAGTGGAGCAGCCGGGACTCGACTCTGTGCCCTGATACCGGATGCCGGTGTCGCAGGTGGCGGCTTTACCCGCTGCCTACACCACCGGCCCCGCGTCCTCTTGTCTTGAACATCTGGCATCATTAACCATGTAAGAACTTCCCATCTTTGAGGACATGCTTCCCGGTGTTCAGCCTTCCCTCTCCCATTTCCCAGAAGGGAAGCCTGAGGCCTTTCCTAGCCTAACAGAAGTAACGTTTATTCGCTGTGTGTCCCTTTAACGGTGCTGTGGAGCTCCTACTGTGTGCTGGGCACTTTACCGGGGACTGAGACAGACTCCGCGCACTCTCAGGGAGGCATCGGAGAACTTCCGGTCGGTAAACAGGTGCAGAGTGGTCCTGGCAGGCAGGGGTGTGGACAGGGGGGTGGTCAGGGAAGGCTTCTTTGAGGAGGTGACTTTAAGTAGGGCTTTGAACAAAGGAGGGGGTGCCCTGTGAAGGCCCGGGGGAAGCACATTCTAGGGCAAGGGAGCCCGTGCTCAGACCCCATGGCAGGAGCCAGCCGGCTGGGGCGGAAGGAGGAAGCGGGCAGGGAGGATGGAGGCTTGCGGGGGGCTGCCGGGCACCACCGCGCCACGCAGTGCCTTGTGGGCGGCGGAGCACAGCACCGGGTTCTGCCTGTTCCTCTCTGGCACAGTCCTGGCGCCCTCTTTCCGCTTGGAAGGGCATGGAACGTTCTGCTGTGGGTGCTAACGTGCACTGCCCGGAGGGGAGTGGGGATCTTTGTTCTTGCAGCCACGGGAGCCCCAAGAAGTCTGGGGGTGGCTTGCGCGCCCTGATCTGTGATCTGCAGGTGTCAGCCTGGGGTGCGGGGGGGCCGGAGGGAGCCCCACAGAGAGACGGAGAGACGGGCGGGTGGGCCAGTGGGGTTGAGGGGTCAGGACGCACGCGGGAAGGAGAGCCGCAGTGTGCGAGCCAAAGACAGGAGGCGCCCCCGGCCCGCCCAGGCTGCGGGGAGGGTGGCGCTGACATCACCCGAGCCGGGGGAGCGGGCGTGGGGAGCGGGGGCGTGGGGCGGGGAGGGCCCGCAGGTCCGCCCTGCGTGTGAGTGAGAGGCGGCCGCAGGTTCTGTGGGAAGCAGCTGCGTTTGGGTCTGTGCTGAGGGAATCAGCCCGGGCTGCATCACTGTGGGGCTGGCGTTTAGAGTTTGGGAGTGGCCAGCCACCTCCTCCAGGCCACCCTGCAGGCAGAGGGCTCTGCAGTGTCCTGGGCAGCCCCTAGGGGGCCTCTTTGTGCTGGAGAATCAGAGCTGCACAGAAGGGGAGGGGGCCAGGTCGTGACCTGGGGCCCCCAGTGTTCCTGGAGCGGAGGAGGAGGGAGGGAGAGCCCAGAGGTGGTGGCGCCCTGAGCCCGCGAGGCCAGCGTCCCCTAGGGCCCGAGCCCTGGAGACAACGCACTAAGACGGGGCTGTCAGTATCCGAGCTTCCAGACAGGAAACCCAGGCTCCCAGAGGGGACAGGACATGCCCAGGGTTGTCCAGCAGGGGGAGTGGGGGAGCACGGGGAGGGGGGGGCAGCAGACCCAGCAGGTGAGCCCTCCGGGTGGTGGCCCCAGCCGGGTGGGCGGAGATCGGCAGCCAGGAAGCCCCGTGGGGCTGGGGATGCTCACCCTTCTTCTCTCCTTCCAGGGCTGCAGAAGAGCCGGAGGCTGCGGGGGACTACGTGAAGGTAGGAGGGGCTGGGTGGCCGCTGGTCACTGTTCCGGGGAGTCTCAGCAGCTTCCTCCCGCGCCTGCGTCCTTCTGTCCCGACCCCAGACCCCGCCAGGACGAGGCCCCGGCGGCCCATGCAAAGGCTGTGCTGCCCCATCCTGCCGGGCCGCTGAGTAACCCACTGCATGCTCGCTCGTGCTTGTATAGCGGGAACGGGGCGGCGGGGCGGGGTGGGGGGGACTCAGTTTCTTAGCTTGGAACATGGGCACACTCACTGGGCACTGGCTTTGGAAATGACCGTGAGATCTTGACTTCTTCCTTCGTCGCTGGGTTGGGCAGGCTTTCTTGGGCCCATTTATAGATGGGCAGCTTGAGGCTCAGAGAGGTGTAGGGCTTGCTCATGGCACGCAGCACAGGGTGGAGCTGGGCCAGCACAGCTTGACGCCATACTCTGACCTCCCGCCCCAAGGGCCAGCGCTGAGCCAGGCCATGCTGAGTACTGAGCAGCCAGCAGAGGGCCAGGGCCCCCAGGCCGTGCGTTCAAAGGGCTCCTAGTCCATCCGGGGGCCAAACAGGGGCCGCGCAGTGGCCCGGGCTTGTGCTTTGCAGTCCATCGCAGCCCAGTGTTGCTGCCAGTGACCTTGGCTGTGTGCATCAGGGTTGGCTTCCAGGAAGTGGTGTCTTCCACTCAGGGTGCAATGGATCCAATGAGCCATACCCTGAAATGGGGGGCCTGAGCCTGGGACAGGGTAGCCTGGCCTGGCCCCTGACCCTGGGGGCGTTGCATCCCCCTGAGATGTTGCTGTAGCAGTCCGGGTAAGTGACTAGGGACGAGACCCTGTGGGGGGCGCTCTGAGGGCTGCCCCCAGCCGTGATGAGAAGACCCATGTGGGGTGCCAGCGCCGCAGGCGGAGGCTGAGCCTACCCCCCTCAGTGTAGAATGCTGGTTTCTGTGTCAGCCTCGGAGGGGGGGCGGCTCTGTGATCAGAACTGCACCCCAGCCCCCGGTTCCCACCCTGGGAGAGCCAGCCTCTGGGGTGCCAGGGTGCTCAAACCAGAGAAGCCTTTGATTCTACTGCGGGGATTCTAGAATTCCGGGTTCCATGCAGTCACAGAAAAGAAACCAGCCTCCGAGGCTCAGAGAGGTGGCCCTGGCTGCCTGA